GTCCACAGGATTAACTGAGCAGGGAAGTGTTGGATGCCTAATACATTTTGATCTTAATTTCACTTTCAACGTCATGATTTTCTTGTCCACGATTGATTTTGAATTCTTAGATTAGTCCTAAGTTTCCTTCCTTTAGTACTTTCTTGATTGATTTTGTACTGATTTTGTCATCTGTCTATTCTAACGCTAGGTATGAATTCCTTGATTGATTTTCCTGAGGCTGATATTCGCAAATCAGAGTTTAAACTCTGATATTAAAATTGTGATTCTCAAATGTGGCTTCACTCTAATTGCGATTCCAATTTTGATTCCCAATTGCGAGATTCATAAAAGTAGTCTTATTCTCGGATTGCTCCAATTAGAAATCTATATTTTGAGCTCCCGATGTCCCCGTGCAATCGGGCTTGCACGGCGTCTGCTTCAACCACGGCTGAGCAGGGGGGTAGGTCTCTTTGCCTAGCCCGGGTGCCTGCAACCGCCGTCTGGTCAGGTCACCCTGCCAATCTGGCAATGGGTGATGGTCCCGGGTGGTTAACACTAGGGTAGGACAGGGGGGGTGTGGGGGTGCGCCAGGGCAAAAATGATAAGAGAAAGGGTGGGTGGGGTCTTCAGAGGGATTCAACTGGAAACCGCGTGGCTGAGTACTGTGGATAACTGTCATTGGTCTAGTATCCCACCTCTACAACAACCTAGGCTTTTTTAAAAAAAAAAAAAAAAAAAAAACAGCGGACGCGGCAGGTTTTGAGTTTGAATAGGCAAAAAAGATACAAAATGGCACTGCAGGGACGGGCACAGTTCAAAAAGGCAGAAAAAACAGGAGCAAGCGGTAATGTTTGACTCCCACACTGAGTTTGAAAAAGCGGTAATGACAGCGTCGGGGCCAACACGGTCCCAGGCCATTCCGTGCCATTTGTAGGCCGGTCGCTCGCCATCTTGGCCGTTCCTTCCCAAACTGTCCCGGGTCCTTCTCTGGCCATTACCGTGCCCCTCCCGTGTCTCCCTCACGCGTCTGTCTCCCTCCTTTCCTGTCCCCCGCTGCCATGTGCTCTCTTTCTTATGAGACGTGGTAGCGTGTGCGACCTTCCGTGACCTCTTTCGTGTGTGTGTGTGTGTGTGTGTGTGTGTGTGTGTGTGTGTGTGTGTGTGAGAGAGAGAGAGAGAGAGAGAGGGAGGTCACCGGGACGGCCATCCTCGAGCAGTAATCAGTGAGCGTTCACGCTCACCCGTTGCTGCACTGCTGCCCAGACATTCCCGCCTCGATATCCCCCACCTGCGCACTCTTCGTTGGAATGAGGAAGAGGAATACACGAGTCC